GGGTCCAGGTGGTTGAGTATCAGAGTGTTCCATCTCATTTCCCTTTGGGGTTGCTGTAGGTGATCTGGAAGTCTGGTTTTGGGACTTATTTACTTGTTTTCTCATTTCGACTGGGGCAAGGGGCTGTTAGTGCCTGCACAGATTACCTCCTCTGAGCTGGGTGAGGTGGGCCAGGGGCCGCGCGCAGCTTTAGGGATGGTGACCCAAAAGCCCTTTCCTGTGGGCTGGGAGCAGCAGGATGGATGGTGGCCGGGAAACCCCTTCCTCTGGACCAGGAGCAGGGGGATGGTGGCTCAGAAGCCTCTCCCTCTGGGCCGGGAGGGGTGGGAAGGATGATGACCTGGAAGCCCCTTCCTCTGGGCCAGGAGCAGCGGGACAGAAGGTGGCCCAAAGCCCTTTCCTCTGGCCTGGGAGCAGCGGGAGGGATGGTGATTGGGAAACCCTGTCCTCTGGACCAGGAGCAGTGGGACGACGGCTCAGAAGCCCCTACCTCTGGGCCAGGAACAGTGGGTCTCAGTACCTTTGTCTGGTGGTCTGGTGTCCTTTGCGTCTTTGTAGTGTGGAACCAGGTAGCTGCCTGTCTGCAATGGGGTGATTCGGTGTCTTCCACGTGACCCAGGACCTCGGTAGGCTGTGCACAGACCTTCCTGTGTGCAGTGGGCTTATTCGGCGTGTTCTGTGCCACTCAGGACCTTGGTAGGGCATAGGCAGACCTCCCTGTCTGCAGCGGGCTGATTCGGCGTGTTCTGTCGCTATTATAAATTTCTTCTTCGATAACATTTTAAATTACTTGCTACCGTCACAGAAACTACAATACACTGATCTAGCCATCCATTTTAATAAACTCTGCTACTGCTTCTAAAACGTGTTATGGGGGTTCTGTGCAAACAATTTTATTATGTGCAAGATTTTATTTCTTCCTTTCCAATTCCCATGGCTTCAGTTTCTCTGTTACATCATTCAGGGTAGGACCCGTCAGGGTCAGCGTGGACAGCAGCACTCTCAGCCTGGACACCGCAGAAAGGGCGAGCTTTGGGAGAAGGTTCTGGAAAACTTGTTGGCTGCGCATGCAATTATGCCTTAAGTTGCTTTTTGTACACGTGCATCATCTTATAAATGAATACCGACCCCACCAAGCAAGAGAGACCTTGAGAGTCACGATGGAGCTCCAGAAATGCCAACGGCTTGAAACAGCTGAGAGGTTTCAGAAACACCTAGAACGAATAATTGAGATGATTCAGAATTGCTTGGCTTCTTTGCCTGATGATTTGCCCCATTCAGAAGCAGGGATGAAAGTAAAAACTGAACCAATGGATGCTGATGACAGCAACAATTGTACTGGACAGAATGAACAACAAAGAGAAAATTCAGGTCACAGAAGGGACCAGATTATAGAGAAAGAAGCTGCCTTATGTGTCCTTGTTGATGAAATGAATGAAAGACCATGAAAGTCTTTCTATTCTTTTTTCCTTTTGGTAAATAGAGTTGTAAATTAGTATATTTTCCTTTGGACAGTGTTAAAAAAGGTACTGTATAGTTAAAAACAAGAGGATTTTTTTCTTGACTCCAGCTTTTCAATTTTGAGATGCTATAGGCAATAATTTCACTCCTTAATAAAGCCAAATGACTGTAACTACATTAAGAGTAATCACCTTAAAAAGCAAAATGTTGGCTTTTGAGTGGGAGATTCCTATCTTTGAAGTTGCAATAAAACTTTGAAGATATCCTCAGTAATAGCAAGCTTTCATCCTTGAAAAAATAAATTTGTCATTTGCTTTAAGAATGAGAAATAAAAGATATCAAACTGTAAAAAGAAATTATGTGATGTACATGTAGCTTTTCAAAACACGTAGCTCTCATATAAGATCTGAGGTCCATGTAGTATGTGTAAAAACTTCAGGTTGATTTTCCTTGAGAACCTTATACTCTTTAACATTAAATTTAAAAAGTTTTCCCCTGGCATTTACATTTACCTTCAGTTGCTCATCTTTCTCTTTTCCCTTTTACAGTCTGTTGTCTGGATTTTCTGCCCTTAGCCCTTCACCTTGCAATCTCACTTCCTTCCCTTCGCACTCCGGAGAAATTGCTGTCATCAAGGAAACCACTGTCCCATTATTGCTAAATACAATAAATGCTTTTCATTTCTTAGCTTAACCTCTCAGCAGCACTTGAGGGAGCTGCCCACTCACTTTCTTCCTTTGGTTTCCATGACAATATTCTCTTTTGGGTTTTTTTCTTCCCTACCTCTCTGGATACTTTTCAGTTTTTCTACCCATGCCTTACATCTTCTCACACCATACATTCTGTCATAGAGAGGAGAAAGAAATGACACAGCAGCCTGACAGTTCAAAGACTTGGTATCCAGCAGTGGTTCCTGTCTTCATAATTCTCATTTTCTCAAATATAAGCTAAAGGTGGATGGCAGACTACTGATGGCCATTTCCTAAGAAAGTTCCACAAAGATAGTCTCTATTCTTTAGAAAGTGAGGGGCCTTTAGCACTTACAGAGCTCAGTCTTAGGAATTTAGCTGAATTTGGGGCAATAGGAAAAAAAATCATTTGATATCCTGCCATATAGATGAATCTTTTTTTTTTAACATTGTTATTCAAAGTTTTTTTTTGTGTGTGTGTGTGTGTGTGTGTGGTGCTCAGAATTGAACCCGTGGCCTTTGTACTGAGCTACATCCCTGCTTCTTTTATTTATTTATTTATTTATTTATTTATTTATTTATATTTTTTATTTTGAGACAGGGTCTTGCTAAGTTGTTAAGTTGCACAGGCTGGGCTCAATTTGTGATCCTCCTGCCTCAGCCTCCAAGAATTCTGGGACTGCAGGTGTGTGGTACCATGCCCATCTTCAAAGTCTCATTTTTATTCTAAACTATTCTTTGCTTTAAACTTTAAATCCTTCTCTCTACCCTGTTTGACACGATGGACAGCTTGCTGATACAAAGTCTCCGTGAATGGAAACTCAGTTTTTCCATTCTTGATGGACATGGGGATGTGCTCTTGACCAAGTGAAATGCCGAGAGTGAATGAGTATTACCTGTTTCCAAAACTCAACACAAGTTCAAGAGGAAGTCATGCCATGTTAGGCTCTTTCTATTTCTTAAATTGTTGTTAGGTGGTTTGAGGTAATGTTTAACACCTATTTTGAATATGTGCTGCGACAAGAGATTTGATAAGAACTTTCATGCAATTCTTGAGAGCAGGGTAAAAGTATGGTCTTGTACACAAGGACATTTGTGATTGAATAGTATACAAAATGTAGATTAATAACTGGTGTATAAGTGAAGGGAAGTTCCAAAGGCTGCTCTGTATGTTCAGTATGTGTGCCTGTGTGTGCATCCACATACATGCACGTGTGTGTATGTGTTTCTCTGATGTGGAAGGCAGTCTGGTCAGCAGGTGGGAGTGTGGGCTGTGGAGCCAGGTAGTCAGGGCTCAGTGAATGTGTATAGATTGCTTGAATGGGCACAGTACATTTCCTGACACTTAGCCTTCAATAAACGATAGCTACATTTACTACTATTATATCATTAGCTGTATTCTGTGAAGAGAAAGCAAGTGTGCTTAGCCAACTTGCAGATGACAGAGCATAGAGGCCTTAAACATTGTGAATGACAAAATCAGACTGGGAATGACCTTGATAGACTGGAAGGATCATGAGGTGACAACTGTCAGAGATCAATGTAAAATATGCTCGGGGTCCTAAAAGCCAGCTGTGTAGGGATGACAGGTAGGGATAAGGTAGGGATGACACAATCATTGAGAACATGGATCAGCATGTGATGCAGAACGACAGAATCCACAGTTATACTTTCTAATATGTAGCCACTTGCCACATATGGCTTCAGAATTTTGTGGTTTAGGGTTTGGAGAGATGTCTAGGATGGTGTGTGCCAGTGTCCCAGCAGTTTCTCGGAGCAGTGCGCCTAATGGCTAAATGTGGCCTTGTAGAGGTGACACCAGTCTGGCGCTTTCACATTTAGTGCACTAAATCTCCCTTTAACTGAATGCTAGGAATTAAAGAATAAGGCGCGTAAGAAAAGTCTTTCAGGTCAGCAGCTGAAAGATTGCGTGGGAACATGTTTTCAAAACATGGGAGATTTCAAAAAGAAGGGAGCCAGGAAGAAACATGTTGATTGGATGTTCATGTTTAAAAAGAAGACGTAGTGTACATTAATGTATTAATACATAATATTTAAATTATTGCTCATCTGGGCTATGCTCAAAAGGGAAAAAATAATAAACTACCAAAAACTTTAGCAGAATTAGTACCTACCTCACCCTGCCTCACATATAATTCTCATAGAAGTGGCTTAAGAAATTGTAGTTTAGTTTGTGAATATTGCAATCTGCCTTAAATCTATGAACCTCCTGTCCAGGATAACATTGCTTTGCACATTTCCTGCCGTGGGTTTTTGCCTGGTCTCTTCTTAGAGGAGGAGTCACACACATACAACTCCTTTGTACTCACTAGGATGGCAGTAGTGCATAGGGGCTGAAGAGCCAGTGTCTCGGGAGGGCAGAGTCCTCTTAAGGGGCTCAGACTCTGCTGCTTGGTTGCAAATATGGGACCAAATCAATGTGTGTTGGGTTCTCAGCTAATCAGGTGTTTACTTACTTAAGCAAGCACATATATATGTAGATATATGTGTATTGAAGTAAGGTTTTTTATATCATTAGACACTCAAAGCATTAAAAATATATTTTATTGATCATTTTTTGAAGTGTCCTATTAGGAATTTGTGAATACAGAAAAATATTTTGTACTTACCTGGTAAGATTTTCCAAGACACTTAGGGCATTTACAAAGTAGCTGTTTTAAGATCAAAAGTCCACATGCACTGTTTGTTAATTGGTGATTTAAAAATAAAGCACCAAAGAAGTCAGCAGGAATTTTTAATCTAAGCTTGGTGAAAGGAACAGTAGAACCCAGGGGAATATAGAAAATCCACATGCCCCAAATTCCATCCTTTGGCATGTATTTCCCATGAAGTGAGTTCCCTGAGTCCTTTGAGTGTATTTGTCACTGTGGTGCACAGGTATCTTTCTGTTACTTTCCACTGCTCCTCTGGTGCCATCCATACATCTGCCCCTCGTGTCTCAGCCAGTGTCCAGTACAGGGTGATAACTGTGTTCAATGTTCTACTCAGCATTCGCCGGCTTGGCCAGCTCTCAGGTGGAATACAGCCTGGATCCCAACTGCAAATGGGTTTCATTTGTTCAGCGCAGAATAAACTTCCTTGAGACCTTTTTCAGCCTGGCATTGGCAGACAATCACTCTAGTTGGCAGAGGAGGAAGACTACTCAATCACTGCACAAAGGCGGTTTTCAGTCCTCTTGGTGGAGATGGCAGTCCTGCCAGATTAAGTGACAAGCAGGCGTGGGATGGCCTAGACACTGGCTATGTCTCCAGCAGTTCAGTAGGTGGCACTGCTGTTCTCTCTGTGCAGCTTGGAGGCTATGAGCAGGCAGGGACACAAATCAGCAGCTCTACAGCAGCCTTTTGGGGCAAGCAGTATCACAAACCCATTATTGGTGCGGTGGCAGCTACTGCTGTCTGTCCTTGCTTGCAGGAAGTTTCAGAGAAAGGGCCCTTCTTTGGAAGCTGACTCTGAGGCTGGAGATGTCAAGTAGCTAAGCCACTGGCCAAAAATCAGCCAGTAAGGAATTGGTTATGTGGCTTCCTGCACACAGGTCTGGAGCAGCTGGCAGGCTAAGCCAGCAGGCAGGCCCTACCCTCTTGTAACTCTGATCTCAGAAATTGCACCAAATTAGCCAAATCTCTAAAGCTCCAGTTTGGAACCAAGTTAACAATAATCTAGACTGGCTTCAATCCGTGACAGAATTCTATGTGATATATAGGTACTGAGCAGGCTTTTCCTGCTCAGTCTTTTTTATTAGTACATATTTGCAGTACATAATGATTACATTCATAGTGGAGACTTGGTACACACACAACATACCTTAATTCTTCTTCTCTTTTATTTTCTTTATCCCCTACCCTCTCCTCCTTCCCTGCTCCCTCCAATCTTGGTGGTCTTCCCATTTGCAAAAGCCCCATTTTCATTATCTTTTCCCTTCAATTCTTTTTTTGATCCCCTTTCCCTCCCTTTCCTCCCCTCCTTCCATTTCTTGTTTCACAATCCATTTGAAAACAATCTCCCTACTTTCTATTTATTTAATATGTGTGTATGTGTGTGTGTGTGTGTATGTTAGTTTCTTATGTAAGAGAAACCATGCAGATTTCCATGTTCTGTTTTCTTGCTGACAGAAAAATATCACACCTTATCAGAGAGTACCTCTACATGGGGTTGAGAAAATATGGCCACTGTAATTACCCTTCATTTCCTGACAGCTAAGTCTCAACTGATATTATGGACTGAATATTTGTTTCCCCCTCAAATTTATAGGTTGAAATCCTTACCGCCAAGGTGATGGT